CACGGAACAAATTCTTGAATAAGGCTCTGACATGACACGTGTGCCAAATCGAGGCGAAACATTTTTAAACACTATGGGAACTTGTCTTGTGCAAATTCCTTAAGAGAAATTGACTAAAACTACAAGTTGTTACCATCAATAGAACCATTATACTAATTCTCATGCGTACCACAAGGTTCTTTGTAAGGTTTCACAGTATCAACACATTGATATTCAAAGTAAAGATAGTTTGACAATCCAGGACATAGATCGTCAGAGATCAAATTGTCATCCACAGTTATATTGCACTCGTGTAGACCATCACAATGTTTCTTAAGCAGACATATTACATCAACTTCACAACTATAATCATCACTTAAACCACATGTCTTCGGTGCAAACAATCCACGGTAAGATGCAAACTTGACCACCATGTATTGATCTTTAGGACAGTTGGCATTCTTCACTTTATCACCATAACATGTCACTGAACCTTAAAAGAACAACAAATGTTTTTTTGTAAACATTGCCAGGTTATAATATTTAAAAAAAGGTATTTTTAACCGTTAGTCGGTAAGCGCAATGTCAATATGAGATAATTACCTAGGTCAAGGTGATGTTTTCACTTGGTGGTGTGCGTTTGTATTTAATTTGTAATGGGGAAAGAGAGAAATCTATAAAGCCAATAGTCGCGGGCGAAGGATGTCGTTTAATTTCTCTTTTAGTTTGGATGGGGATTTACAAATATAAGATATAGAAACCGATATCATAACCGCAAAAGAGCTTGTATATGTGATATAAAAGCGCTATGAGATAATTACAGTAAGTAAAGAGTGATGATTGGAGGGGGGGGGGGGAGGATTTGTGGAGGTATTACCGGAAGTCAATGATATCGATTAGATTCTCGTTAATTTAGTTTGAGTTAGTTAGAAAGAAATTTTACATAATTTATAAATTTCTAAGAAAAATATGTCTCGTACATTGCTACACAAATTTATAAACATGCGCACAATTACTGGATGGTATTTGTGAAATTCTCATTATAAGTTGGTAAGTTAATTTTTCTCACAAAATAAGATAGATCACCAGTCTCGAGCGGCATGTAGATCTAAGGCCGCTCTTATTCAGTTTGAATATGCGACTACAATTTTAATGCATGACCCCCTTAATATCATAAGCTCGCATTTTGGTTTATAAACCATACTTGTCTATGTATATTGTTAGAATTAGTAGGCACTAAATTATAATATAATTTATTATTATTTACATAACATATTACATATATATATATATATATATATATATACATATATATATATATATATATATATATATTCAATCTACATTATTTCGTAGATTGTAAAGAATTATATATCCATTATCCACATTATATAATTATATTATATTATATGATATTACATATATATATATATATATATATATATATATATATATATATATATATATATATATATATATATATATATATATATATTCATAATCTACCTTATTTCGTGTAGATTGTGTAAAAGAGTTTGGAGAATGTTTGGTTTGCGAGAGGAAAAGATTGTAAGGCGCTCAATGAGAAATAAAGCCTTCAAAAATTAGAAAGATTGTTAACAAAAACTTACCAAAAATATATCTGTGACCAAAACCACCATATGTCCTCAATACGATATAGCGCTTTAATCCATAATTTTTATCAAGTTCGTCACTAGGTGAAGAATGTGCAAACCAGGTTTCAAATGAGCTCTTATCTTTCCCTTTATAATAAACAGATAGCTTTCCTTCAGGGGACTGGGTTATAGCACGATAGATACTTTCGTTAGGCTTCTGAGCACAAGCAGCTGTATCTAAACTGACTGAGTCAACGTAAAGATAAAACATATCATGGTCATATCCGGAACCATTCTTATTAAAAGCAGCGAGACATCCCTGTTTTTTTAGATTTAACATGGCACCATTATCACGAAAACGAAACTGAGCAGCTGGATCCAGACAGTTGCCGGAAAATTCCAGAATAGACAAGTTTCCCCAACTGCCGCTTGACTGTATTTGATCTGTGTCCTTTATACAAAGTCCAGAGGGATAGCCATAGTCCCAGATTTCTTTCACAAAGAAACAAGTTGTTCCTGAAAAGCATTACAATACAGACATAATGTGTTGGTCAATTCAAGGCCGTCGCGAAAGGGCTAATGCAGGGAGGGGCGTGTTTTGTATTCTTCAGACTAGTACCCAGGATTTTTACGAGATTTTGGCTTATTTTTCACATTTGGAACAGCAATAACTCGAAAACCATTTGAGAATCCCAGCCAACCATTTTTATGTCTTTAATGTAGTTTTTTGTACGCTTTCTATTGATGCAAGTAATTTGTATTGGAAATGTATCTGAAATTTCATATTTCTTAACTGTAATAGAGTTTAATAGAAAATTCGAAGAAAAACATGTCGGCAAGAGCCTACAAGATATTTTAACGCCGCCGACATACATGAAATTGCCCCTCGATGTGTTTTTTCCTTCTATCTGCCTGACTACAATTACAATGTCAAAAAATGATGACCTCCCCACAAAGTCACCATATCTCTAAATAAATCATGAACGCTCCCTGACCCTACTAAGTTAGTTACCAGGCAAAACTACAGGTAAAATAAACTTGTCGGCCTCTACCTCTATCGCCAGAATGCGATTATCACTTGTAGAACTACACAGATTTATTGACGAAACAGTAACTTCTCGGCCACAGCCGAGTTATCGATCGGTAATTATTGTAATGTAAAATATAATGTAACGAGACTAAGCTCTTAGCTTGCACTTATTCTTAATTGCGTTCGTGCGGGCACGCCAATAGATTATTTTGGAATGATAAACTTGTTGGCATCGGTTATCGTCTTGCATTAGTTAATTTCTTTTGTTTGTTTTTTATAATTAAATTCTTCCAAAACATTATTATATGCAATAATATAGTGCTCTTTAATATTTACAAACATGAGTTTGGAGCCTGCTGGAAACCATATGGCTTTTATTGTAGGCTCCTAGATCATAAAATAAAAATAATTAATAATTAATATAATGTCAGTTCGAATGATTTTTTTAAAGAAAATACATGATTAAAGGATATATTAATAATATATAAAGATAGTAAACATGTATATTTACAATACAATTTTGATATAATTGTATATTATTACAGGAATATAATTTAATTTAATTTATAAACTTTACAATCAAAGAAACGATTGAAGGTACAGGACTGAGGAGTCCCAAATGACATGAATATGACATGTTGTATATCAATCTAGCTGTGAGAAGTAGTTTTTGATAATTATTTTCGTAGGAATCATAAGACCTTGGTTTTTTATATTGTTCAGAAA